GACAGGTTAACATGTCAGTGACATTTTAAAGGACCCTGACATTAAATGCTGAAACTTTAATAAAATGCACACATATTTTTATCCCAAGTTTACAATGGCATTCTGAACAAGGCACCTGAACAAGGCACAGAAAGTCAGCATTTGTGGCCAGAAGAAAAATAGTCTGGTCTTGGACTTTTACTTTTATATGGCAAAGTTTTAAAGACTTAAAACAACTAAGTCTGCTCACAAAGAAAAAGAAAAAACATATTTTCCTTGTCTCTTATGGACTCCCATGTAAAAATATTGTTTGCTGGCTTAAAGTCTGACAATAAGAGATACTAGCTTAAAAATATGTTTTACTTATTTAACAGTATGTCATGGGTAATTTGTCATATTCACACAAATGGGTCCAATGCATTGTTTTAAATAACGTATCATTTTTCATAGCGTAGACATACTCTAATCTATTCAACTAACTCCCCAATCAACAGATACTCAGGTTGTTTCCAGTATTTTTCCTCCTTAAATAATGCTGCAATAAACATTTTCATATGTATGTTATTTATTAATGGTTGATAATGCAGTAGTTTTAAAAGTTGAATTACATTTTATTTATAAACTAAACATACTGTATAATTCTGTCCTTAGATTAGAGTCTCATAGGTTCTTGAGTTATTTTACGTTACTATAACTAAATTCACATATACAAACACACATACACACAAGTGTACACACACACACACACACACAGAATCCATACTTACGTGTGTAGAAAGCCCTTGCAGTCCTCATGACACGTCCCCAGCCTGCACATCTCACCTCATCACACACCGCACCTAGCATGCATTATTGCCCTGGCCAACCTGCCACCTGCCAGTGTTTCTGCAACGTTCGTCTTCACACTTCCCTTAGTAAAACTTGCTTGGAGGCCTACACAAACTCCCCTCCTCCTGAAAGGTTTTTCTGATCTCACTGGCCTTTTCAAGCAGAAAATCCACTCCTACTTTGTCGTACCAAAGCAGTTTCTCATCTCTACCTGGAGCCCTTTTCTCAATCTGCTTTGTGTGAAAGTTGGCACTGCACCCATCTGTCTCTTCTGATAGATTCTGAGTCTCTTGGTGGCAGATACCATTTTGGCTGAATGTAATATTACCTGCATGTAGGTAAAGCTACATGAATGAGTTTGAATGAAATGAATGTAATACCTGCTTGTAGGAAAACCTTAAGGAAATACTGATTGGATCTGGGCAATCCGTTTAAAAAATAAGAAGTCAGAGCTCAATATTTGCCTTTGAAGCCCTATTCTAAGTGATAACTAACTACAGTTACTAAGGCAATTTTGTGAAAAGGTAGTATGTAAAACCATCTCATGTCATATGGATATTTTTGGCTTTAGGAAACTTTTCCTTTACTGCTAGAACAGGAGTCAGCAAGCCTTTTCTCTAAAGGGCCAGAGAGTAAATATTTTAGGCTCAGCCAGTCTTACAATCTCTACTGTAGTTCCTCAGCTTGCCCAGTGTAGTGGGAAAGCAGCCGCGGACAGTAAGTAATGAATGAGCAAGGCTGTATTCTACTACAATTCCATTCACAGAAGCAGGCGATGGGCAGGATTTGACTCACAGGCTGCTGTTGGCAAGTCTTGTTCTAGACAGCATCTGACTCCATAGACTAACCTGACTTAACTCCAAATTTTGATTTTTCCACTTTAGGTCTTCAGCTTACTGTGTGACTTATTACCCTCTTTGTGTTTTTCAGCACATAGATATAAGAGTAATACTGCCCCCTTCATGTTAGACATCTAGTTCAGGGCCTAGCATTCACTGAGCCCAGAAACAGCATCGACTAACTTGCCTTGTTAAAGGTAGCAGCAGCATAGAAAGGGGGTCAGAGAGCATGCAGCCCCTTTTTTTCCACTGGAAGTAGCAAAATCCAAAGGACAAGGCAAGTGGAAAATCAGTGGGAGTAGCAGAGACTATAGGATGACAGTGGCCAGTCTCCCCAACAGAAGCAGTGATTCTCTAAGTTGTGCACTCCTGTGTAGAGGTAATCAGGGGTACATAGACACACACTAGCCTGACATTTCTGCTGCACCAGCAATCGCATTAATAAAAGACTTTGAAGGTTGTTTGGAGCACCTGGAACTATGATGAAAGGTATGGGCCGGGTTTCAAGCAGAATTACCGTTGAAAGAGTAATACCTGGAGATTTCAAGGGTATGGCCTTTTTAGCTAAAATACAAACAAATAATCTTTGGCACATCACTGGCCAAATCATCACCAAACGTCTCGGCTGCCCACCGGTGTGCAGGAGACTCTTTCCAGATGCAACACTTCAATCACATTTCCTCTGCCAGCAAGAGGAAGTCCAATACTTGAGAGCAGCGTGCAAGGCTCTCCACGACTTGGCTTCAGCTTGTTCTTCGAGCCTCACCTCCAAGCCCTCCTTTCCCTGCACAGCGCAGGTGCGTCAGCCCAGTAGGTTGACGAGTCTCTTCGTGGCTGCCAAACATCCTGTCTCTTACTGTGCTGATGCCTGGTCTGCTGTGGTTCCTGCTTTTCTCCCACCTTAATTGTCTAGAACTTTACAAGCCCGCCGGTCCTGCACGTCTCCGTTCTTTTAGGACCAGAGCCAACTGCATCCTCCACGGAGTTCCCCTCCTGCCTAGCTACAGGCCGTCTCTCCCTCCAGCTGTCGGGAGCATTCCTGACTCCCCCTTTCTTTCTCTGTGCCTTGGGACACCTTCTTGATGCCTTCTGTGAGTGCTCCGCAAGCCCTGGACGGTGATGCACAGAGTAGGGGAGCCTGGATTTGGAGTCTGCAGACTGAAGTCTGCGTCTCACCACTGACTCACCAAGATGGAAAAGCGGTTTAGTGTCTCTTAGCCTCCGTTTCTTTATTTATATCCAGGGTCTTATACCTCTACCTTATAGAGCTTTTGTGAGAATGAAATGAGGGTGAACAGAGTAGAGAGTCTAGGGTCCTTAGAAGGTGCCTGTCTCCCTCAAGAAATGTTACTGAGCCTGAACTGATTACAGGGGTTGACTTGGTGTATCTCCCTAGTGATGTAATCACTTTGAAAGCAAGACTGTACTGAAATATGTCTGTGGTTAATGGCAGTGCCTGGAATTTTATTCTAAAGCCACTCAGTAAATTTATTTCATTTATTTTTAAATTGCTTTTTAAAGTCCCCATCAAAGTTATATAAGGCATCCTAGCTTCTATTTTTCAAATTTTGAAGATAGAATCAAGATCTTCATCAGGATCTATTGTAAAGGGATGCTTTTAAGATGGTTTGAAAATCAACTCAGTTTCATCAGATTTGTAAAGTTTGGGGGAATATACCCAAACAAATATTTGCTAAAATATATAAGCAGACTAAAATGGTACTTTTTTCCATTTTATTCTTTGCAAAATGACGACACCATGGCTATTGAGTGCGCACACTGTGCCTCTGGCTTTCCATGTTGACCAGCTCTCTCCACCAGCTGTTCACTGCTTAAATCCAAGCCCTCTTTCTATTACTCATACTCTTATCTACAAGGAGATAAATAAATCCTGATGATCTGTATATATGCAGAGCATAATGAATATTAAGCGTATTGATTAATGAAATTAATTGATTAATTGATTGACTAATTCAGTCTCCATTTTGCACGTTGGGAAGCTGAGACCTAAGCTGAGAGTTTAGAGATGAGCTCCAGGGTACAAGCCTAGAGCCTGGATGCAGGTTTTCTCTGCCGGGGGTGCTGGTCTCCCCACTACACTGCAGCTTCACTACCCGGAGCAAGGGTGTCCCACAAGTAGCTATCTAGGCCTTCATTTTAAGATCCACGGTGGGATAACAGAAGAAATTTTTCCTCTGTGTCTTGCATTTTTGATTAAAAATGATCTAACAGGGGACAACTAGGCAACTCAGTCAGTTAAGCATCTGCCTTTGGCTCAGGTCATGATCCTAGGGTCCTGGGATCGAGCCCTGCATCCAGCTCCCTGCTCAGCAGAGAGCCTGCTTCTCCCCCCTCCCACTGCTTGCTGCTCCCCCTGCCAAATAAATAAGTAAAATCTTTTTTAAAATGTCTAATGGTAAAAAAATATATATCTAATAGATAGAATATGTTTTTACCATGACAGATATTATAATGTCATAAATAGACAAAATTACCTCCAATTATGTATAAGTCACTTCGATTCCTGTGTAAGGTTTTGGTGACTGAAACCTCATCTAAAACAAAAATTGAAACAGTACTTGAAAGCTTGTCAGTGAAGATAAAAGGAGAGAGCTGCTGTACAAGTGCAATAGGAAAATGCATTTGCAAAGCAAGCTATTACAATTTTCATGAAAATCATAAATATATACAGATAAATTAATCAACAATTTCAAGGTCTCTCTACTCAAAATGATACTTAGTAATTAGCAAGACTGGAAAAACCTTCATTTTAGAAACTTCCATATGCATTACAAACCATGAGCCTCAAGTTTTTAATAAAGTTGCATGACGGAAGAGTTACAAAATTAGTCCTTACTGCATACAGGAGCATTTTAAAAGTTAATTAATTCTCTGACATTCAACTGTGTAACTAAATTACTTTATACAGTTGTTTAAGCACAATGTCTATGTCTATAATCTTCTGATTAAAATAGAGCTAAAATCATCAGTAGCAGTTACTATTTACCCTCTTGCTAACCATACCATCCATTATCATCCCTGATAGCTCCTTCTCAGAACCTGAAGGGATCATCCCCCAGAGAGTTCTAGAAACTTTCTGCTATAACAGACTGAAGGGGGGTTGGAGAGGGGGAGAGCTTTCAGGTTGCAGGTTTCAAAGTTAGATTTTCTGACAGAAAATACCTTTTTAAATCTTAAACTGAAGAAGAATTGTAACAAGGCTCTGTGCAGCAGAATACCTGCGAATTCACTATTGTTTAGCCTGTGGTTTCTATTTAAATTTGTGCTTCTGTCATGATTTATTCTTACCTCACCAGATAATGAATCTAGATTTTATTTCTGTTCTTTGCCCAGACTTGTACAGCAGGCAAAGTGTTTGAAAATCAAAGGAAAAGAAGATATTGACTTGGATAATCTCTTCAGAGGTAAAAAAAAAAAAAAAGCAAAAACACAGACTATGCTTTTTGTTGTGAAGAATGTCTGATTTGTTTGCCGGGTTGGTTTTATCATTCCAGGAGGGGATAGTGGAAAGAGCTTGACGAGACAAGAAGAGATTTGTGTTCTAGTCCCAACCCTACAGACAAGTAGGTTCCAATACTTCTCCACCCCAACCTCGATTTTCTCATTTTTAAAGTGAAAGGACTAGACTGTAATTTCTGTGATCCTCATTCGTGATAAGACAAATCAAGACCTATCGAAGTAAAGGTCTCAGTGGCGGAACTTCTCTGTTATCTGCCTAGGGCATGAAGGAGCATCTCATGGCATTTTTATATGTTGAGGGACTGGGAAATGTATCTAAGTATTAAGACATCCAAGAAAGTTGTTGGGCGGCAGGGGGGTGGCGGGGGCGGGAAGCTTTGTTTAAACTTAAAACTAAAAGCTGAAGGATTATTAGTGTAGGAAAAAGAATTGCATGTTTTCATTTAATTCTGTTTCTTTCCAAATAAGTTTCGCTCTTTTAGACAGAATTGCATCTATAATTTTGAGGTTATACTGTAGCAAGCTAGCTAAGGAATAAGTTTCCCCTCAGTTGTGTTCTTTTAGTGCAATAATTTTTATTCAATCAGGTGAAAACATTGGTGACCTGTAATGAGTATCCTATGTCTTCAGCCATAGTAGTTTTACATGTTTGTATCTCCCAGAACACGGCAGGAGCCCTGTTTCTCTTACAGAGGAAAAGAAAATTAGTGAGTTTTCTGCTGACTTGGTAAAAAATGCAGCAAATTAAAACAACTCGGTAGCACTGCACTCCTCTCCAATATGATTGCTTATTAGCCTTTTCTTAAGGAAGAAAGAGTGCTTGGCAGTCATTGTCCAAAAAGAGCTCTGACCTCTCTGAGCAGAGCTAACCAATCACTCCAGGCAGGCACCAAGCTCAGCTCGCTGCTGAACGACTCCTGATTCCATCTCAGCCACAAAGGGAGGAGGAATCTTTTCCGAAGAAAATGGAAGGCGGAGAAGTTACTTTGGTTTCATTGTGCATCCACACTTTGCTCCCTAACCAGAAGCATTTCTGGGTAATATCATCAGATCTGAACGTTGCCTTAAATAAAATAAATGACTGATATTTTAGAAACTGCTCCATACAAATGTTCTAATCCATCTTACAGAGCCTCCGTTCTGTAAACAACATGTGTTTTGGAGCCATATAAGGAGCCCTTAAAAAGTGTCAGTGTTTTAATTCATATTTTGACACTTTTGAAAATATCTCCACAGAGTAATTATGTATGTGTTCCTGTTAAAACAGATACACAGTCAATTTTGTAATTCACATAGTAAAAGTAGTAATGAGGATCATCCTTATAAAAATAGAAAATATCACTAGCAAAATGCATTTGCATAATGTGAAAGATGAAATCTCTTCTAACTTGTTCACTGTGTACTTATTCTTTCCTGCATCACTTTTAAAAGGTTTATAATGCCGACCTTAAAAATAAAACAACCAGTTATTTTACCAGCAAAATGAGTTTACTGAGGAATAGCAAGGAATTGTAATTAGGGACAAGCCATCTCTGGTAAAAGCATGGGCAAATCCAGAGAACCAAAGAGAGGAACATTGCTTTATAGAGAAAAAAGAGGAAGTTGCTCTGAATGAAAGTTGTCGCAGAGAAGGGAGAGTTCAGAGTGTGATTGTGACATTAAACAATATTTACTATTTTCTTTTATTTTTTGCAAGCCTATAAATCTGAGCATAAATTCTAAGTTCTTGCACTTATTGTTGTTCTGGGTATAGATATGAATAAACACCTTCTTAATTCATCAGAGTACTTTTTTAAAAAGGAAAATGGGCTAAAATGTATTCTCCATTTCTCCTATGAGGGGAAATGCTGTACTTCTAATATTTACAGATTGTGCGTACGTGTGTACACATGCATGTGCAGCTTGCGTTCTTCATATCTTGGGTGTGTTTTCAGTTTTTACTTGGAAACATCTTTGTTTCCTAAATCATTTTATTCACAATAGCTATTCCTGGCAGATATAAAATTTAAAAATTTACCCATAATTTTCAAGGATACTTCTTAGACATACGATTGTCTTTCTTTCACCATAGTAATGGTTAAAAGTAAGATGGGATGGTAGAAATTTTAAATTAGTCATATAACTTTATTGAGGAAAATGTGATTATCTGAAAGGGTGTCTGGTAGTAAAATTGACGGAAGTTAGAGTTTGTCTTCCCAGTCTATAGGTTTGCAGGTAAGCCTGTCAAGTGTTATACATGAGACATGGCAAATCATAGTTCTCTTCGCCGTCTTTTGTTAAGTAACATAATGCATGATGATACCGTTGCCGTATCTGCTGTGCCACATCCCTTCTTTGGACTTGAGTTGGGCATCTGCATGGTGACCTTTCAGGGTTTTACCTTCTCTCCATGAATGTTCCATAGATGACTGCACAGAATCTGCTCCTTTGAGTACAAGTTGAGTGAAGCTGATGAAAGCACATTTCCATCAAGTATAAAGGACCTGCTCATCTTAGCAATCTGCCCTTTTGCTCACTTAGAAAGCCCAGAACCAGAGCAGCTAAAATTTAGCTACTGGGTACCACAGACACATGTCACTGTCTAGGCCACCGCAGTGCCCTGCCCCAGGGGACATCTTTGGTATTGTAGAATGTTCAGCTTGAAAACCTGTATTTTAACTGTTTACTATCTTTTGTTCTCAAATGTGTAACTAAGGCTCACCTTTTTACAAATCCAAACATTTCATAAGGCAAAAAATAACACAATATAAGCATGAAAAAGGTAAATATTATTAATAAATCCCTCACAGATTTATTTTGGATCTGTAATTCACCTTTTTGTTTTGTTATAGAACAAAAAGAATGTATAGAATCATGTTTGGTGAACTATAGTTGACTTTTTTCCTCTAGCTGCATGATGTACATGGCTCTCATGTACACCTGCTACGTTCTTTTATTTTTTAAGCAATAATTTTAGACGAGCTCAGGAGATTATTCTCATTTAGGCACTATTTGGGTCAAGAAATAGATTCTGAGCAGAAACCTCCTTTGTGTGGCCCGGTTACCACCTCCAGTCAGGACATCACGCTTCTGATTTCCATCACTGTCCATTGCTTTGCCCTATTTTGATCATTTTATCATTGAAATCACACAATATGTATTCTTTCACATCTGACTTTTTGCTAACATTATATTTGTGAGATTCATTCAAACCATGGTTTGATTTTTTGCTTATTCTTAATACTGCATATTACTCAGTTTTATGAAGATGCCACAGTTTATCTGTCCATTTTAATATTGGTTGCTTTTGGTTTTGCCCTCTCAGCAGTGGTGCTGCTAGAAAAGTTCTTTTATGTGATTTGGTGGATCTGTGTGTGCATTTCTCTAAGGTACAGACCGAAGAGGGAAATTTCTGGGTAATTGAATGGGTTTGCATTTAGGAGCTGGTGTCAAGTATTTTTACAAAGTGGTCGCACCAACACACTCTTGCCAGCACGGTTTGGGACTTGCAGGCACTTCAAATCCTTGCCAGCAGTTACTACTCAGACCCTCGTCTTGGCCAGTTATTTGGGTTTGCAGTGCTAGTTAATCATGCTCTTAATTTTGCATTTCCCTGAGGCCAAATAGGCTTGAACACATTTTCGTGTTTATTGGCTATTTGAACATCCTTTTTTGTGAAATGTCTTTCCCATTTGTCTTTTAGATTGTCCTTTTCTTATTGATGTATAGGAATTCTTGATTTCTGTAAACAAGTCTATTTTTGGTTAGATATATTACAAATACCTTCTCCAGTCTGTGATTTGCCATCTCACTCTCTTAATGGGGCCTTGTGATCCATAGAAAGTCCAAAATTTAATAGGGTCCATTAATCCTTTCCATTTTGGTTAGCACTGCTAGTGTCCTGTTTAAAAAAATTTGCCTATTATGTGTTCATGAAGATATTCTGCTGTTTTTTATTCTAGAATCTTTACTGTTTGATCTTTCAGATTAAAAATCACCTGAAACAGATTTTTTATACATGACATAACAAAGGAGCCAAGATTCACTTTTTATATGAATATTCAGTTGACCCAGCATCATTTAGCAAAAAAGACCTTCTTTTCCCCATTGCTTATCATAAATCAAGTGACCGTGTATGTATGGGTCTGTTTCTGGATTGTGTTCTGTTCCATTGGCTTGTCTGTTCTCGTGCCAGTACCATACTGGTTTAAGTACTATGACTTTTTAACTTTATATCATAAATCCTGATAGCCAAAAAGGCCACTCCTCCAATTTTGTTCTTTTTCTTTGGGATTGCTGGGCTATTCTTGTTCCTTTGCATATCTAAAGAGCTTGTCTATTTACATACATACATACACTGCCCCCCCAAACAACTTACTCTGATTTTGACTGGAATTGCAGTGAATGTATAGATCAATTCCAGGTGAACTGGCACGCTCTCATTAATGAGTATGGTACATCCTTCCTTTTAATTAGGCATTCTTTAATAGTTTTCAATAATGTTAGGCAGTTTCTCTGAGCCAGGGCCTCCTGTGTAATGTGGAATAGAAATGTGATAGCAAGGTATCTTTGTCTCATTCTCAGTCTCAGGAAGAAAGTGTTCAGAAGTTGACTTTTAAATATGAGGTTTACTGTAGTGTTTTTAGTACCCTTTAATAGGTTGAGAAAACTGCCTCCTCTTTTAGTTTGTGTTTTTATTTTTATGAATAGGGATTGAATTTTAGCAAATGCCTTTTTCTGCATCTATTTGGATGGTCACATGGTTTTTCTCTTTATTTTGTTAATATGGTGAGTTTCAGTGATTTTTTTTTATTTAATTTCTTTTCAGTGTAACAGAATTCATTGTTTATGCACCATACCCAGTGCTCCATGCAATACATGCCCTCCACAATACCCACTACCAGGCTCACCCAACTGCCCCCCCCAACCCTCAGTTTGTCTCTCAGAGTCCACAGTCTCTCATGGTTCATCTCCCCCTCCGATTTCCCCCAACTCACTTCTCTCCATCTCCTCATGTCCTCCGTGTTATTCCTTGTGCTCTACAAGTAAGGGAAACCATATGATAATTGACTCTCTCTGCTTGACTTATTTCGCTGAGCAGAATCTTTTCCAGTCCTGTCCATGT